GGCAGAGACAGGCGGATCTTTGTGAATTCAAGGGCAGCCTGGTCTACATACTGAGTCCCAGTACAGTTTGGGGTACAGGGAGACCCTGTCTCAACAACAACAAAAAAAGTAAACATTTAAAAAAAATTATTATACCTTGTACTTGAAACTACATACTTGTGATAATCAATAAATAATTATCATTATGATGATGGAGACATAATTTCACTCACTATTTAAATACTGCTGGACTCGAGTAACTATAACCAAACACATGCTTATTCATTAGAAACCACTAATGGAAAATGCAGCGGTTTAAGGACATAAACAATGAGAAGTCTAGCATATTCCTACACAATACTTTCTCCTCTTCCCTCCTCATTCAATTTCTCCCAAGTCCTTCAATTTGTTTTTTAAACAAACTCAATTCCTGCCTTTTGAAAACTTTCCTACCCTAAGCCTACTGAACTTCTCCAACACAGCAAACTAAGTACTGCTCAGAAGCCAGTATTCTGAGAATATAAAATTTTCACTGTGGTATAGATAATGCATTAAGTGATAAGCTAGCATAAGAGAGAGTGAGATCATTACCTAGTTATAAAGAGATGTAATCAAAGTAACATACGAACTGGTGGCCGAGGGTCCAATGCCCGGCTGTGATATTTCTTTGCCTTTAAGACTACCCTTCACAGTAACTTTTAAACAATTTTTACCTACTTAAAAATGTGTGTAGGGGCTAGAAAGATGGCTCAGTGGTTAAGAACTCTGGCAGTTTGCCTGGTGTGGTGGTGCACACCTTCAATCCCAGCACTCGTGGGGCAGAGGCAGAAGGATCTCTGTGAGTTTGACACCAGCCTGTTCTACACAGTGAGTTCCAGGCCAGCTGGGACTACAGGGAGACCCTGTCTCACAAAAGACCAAAAAACAAACAAACAAACAAAAAAACACTGGCAGTTCTTGTAGAAGATCCTGGTTCGAATTCCAACACTCACATAGCAGCTAACAACCACCTGTTAACTCCAGTTCCAGGGGATGGATGCCCTCTTCTGACCTCTGCAGGCACTGCACAACACAGGAGCACTTTAACACACACGCAGGCATAACACTCATACATATAAAATAAAAAATTTTTAAAACTGTGTATATATGTGTGTGAAACATGCCATGAGCATCAATCACTTTAAACATTTATAAACTCTGTCTTACCAGAACATGAGTGTCCTCTATTTATTCTACATGATTAACTACTACTATCATCCACTACAACAGGAAAGACCAGGTATAACGCTTGACTGCATTTAAAAGAAGTAGTTTGAACTTTAGAACCTAAAACACTTGAGAATGGCAAATCATGCTCTTTTGTAACTCAAATAGTGGCCCTGACTGAGGCAGAATCATAAAGTACCAGGGCAGTTCCAAAACAGACTCTACAACTAATTAACAAGGATCCACCTACCTCCACATTTTAAAAAATTATTTGCTAATAGTCTCTATGTGTGCAAGCCCATATGGAACATAACTTTCAGGAGTCAATTCTCTGCTTCCACCATGAGTTCCACAGATCTAATTCAAATTGTCAGGTTTATGTACCAAGAGCTTTTATCCACTGAGCCATGTTGCTGGCAGGTCCCTCCTTCCCCTGCCAACTTTAAAAATACTGTTCAAGGACTGCTTAATTATATGTTTAAATTACCAAACACAAACATAACCAGACACAAATGAAGTGGTTATTTTGTGAAGCATTCATAATTCATTAGTTCATCTCCTAAATTACCCTAGGCAAAGCTATCACTCATACATACATACATACATACATACATACATACACACACACACACATATATATACATACATATACACACACACATAAAGAATGCACACTTTTATTTATTCATTCAGTAACCACAAACTTAAGAGGCCATATGTCATGTACTGGCTACATAAAAGCAGGCAGTTATCCTCCCTTAGAAAGTTAACAAAGCAGGGGCTGGAGAGATGGTTCCACAGTTAAGAGTACTGGCTGCTCTTGCACAGGACCTGAGTTCAGTTCCCAGACCCCACATGGCAGTTCACAACTGCCTGTAACTTCAGTTCCAGTGATTCTCGTGCCCTTTTCTAGCCTTTGTGGGTACTACACATACAGTATACATACATACATGTAGGCATTCACAAATAAATAAATCTTCAAAAACAAAGTTAACAAAGCAGTCAAGAAGCAGTAAAATAAACTTTGCAACACAATACAAACTGAAAAACAGAATGATGTATACAGAGTGAAGAAGCAATAACATCCCATCTAATATCAACTTCCCTTAAGCTAAGAATTTAGAATAGACCTTTCTTTAAAAAAAGGGGGGGGGGGCAGGGAGTAAGACAGAAGAAAATGACACACTAAAAGGCACTGAGATATGATAGCAGCTGTCCTATGCATTATCATTCAAAGATTTCCAAATAACAAAATGGGCTGGCTAAAGTGTGGATACTTAAAAGTCAAACTTAATCTAATGCTGCCTCAACTTGAATGGGTACTTTTTTAAAGGACTTTTAAAAAGAAGACTTTTTGTAGCTGAAGGTTTGGCTATGCCAGGAAAAGAACTTGCTTTGCAAGCATGGGGACCTGTGTTCAATTCCCAGTACCTATGTAAAAAGTCAGCTGTAGTAGGGGCATAGTGGAGCATACTTGCAATTGCAGCACTGGGGAGACAGAGACAGGACCTAATTGGTGAGTTCCAGACCAATGAGACCCTACCTCAAAGGAGGTAGATGGTGTTTCTGAAGATGACATCCAAGGTTTTCCCCTGCTCCAAATGGTGCTCATGGGAGCGTGTACGCACACGCACACACACGCACACACACACATACGCACACACACACATACGCACACACACACATACACAGGTAGACCTTCCTTTTATTGGCTGAAGAGATGGTTCACACATAGATGTGCCTGCCACCAACCCAGGCAATCTGAACCTGAGTTCAATCCCCCGGAGAGACTGAACTAGAAAGAGAGAACTGACTCTATTAAGTTGTCATCTATCTCTATACATGTGCTGTGGCACATGTGTACACATACATAGACACATGCTACATAAATAAGTTTTAAAAGTAAATTTATAAAAAGCTGACCTTTTAAATTTTAAAAGATAAGTAAACTTATCCGTACTTCAAATTTATGAAAAATTGTCAACGCATAATTCAAATCCAATAATGTGGAATTGCCTTCCATGTTGAAAAGAAATACAGCTACAAGATAATACTCAAATGATAAGATATGTTTTTCTAAGCTGAGTGTGGTGGTGCACACCTTAGTCCCAGCACTCAGAAGGCAGAGGCAGGCAGATCTCTGTGAGATTGAGGCCAGCCTGGTCTACATAGTGAGTTCCAGGCCAGCTGGGGCTATAGGGAGACCCTGTCTCAAAAAGATTTAAAAAAAAAAAAGATGTTTTTCCATACAAAAAAACTATCTTAGAGCATAATAAAATTTCATTATTGTGAAATTAAAGTGTCTCTCTGGTTTATGAAATTTGTATAAATATTCCATCTGATTTGTCTTGAATCTGGCTTATTTTTCTTTAATATATAGTTCTCAGAACAAACTATTCTTTCAACATGTAATTTAAGAAACTGATTACCTGACAGTCAAGCAATGGGCACCACTGGAAGTGAAGACAGAGTTCAAGACTGGGATTAGTTGGATCACTGATCAAAGGAGCTGAAGGTTAAGTGGATGCTACCATGATCAGGTGTTAGAGACACTAAGCAGTCATAAAAGTCAGGCCCTGAAGGTGTTCAAGTAAATACTAGTAACCTTACCTGTTTGTGTGCAGTTTTTGCTTTTTATAATGTTATATTCATGTTTTCTTTCTTTTCCAAATATTACTTATCTCATCTAATGAAAGATGAAAGACAAAAGAACCACATATAACAGGTATAAGTGGGCATGGGTATTTGAGTATAGAAAGACTCAGAAAATCTGCGTGACAAACACTATGCAAGCACCAGTATGTATATGATGAACCAACTGGGAAATGCTAATTCTTAAAATACAGCATTTCCCAAAATGCATGTTATAGTTATACACAAATACAAAAACAAATATTAGCAACATGGATTTGGGACCAACATAACAGGAAGTATAATAAGCTTCAGGAATAATAAAAGACTCGGTATTCAAGGAACCACTGCAGAAAACAAACAATAAGCATACAAGTCAGTGTTCTCAGCCCTGTTTATGCTTCAGAATTACATGTAGCTTCAAAAATTCTTATGCCTGGGCCCACCCTCAGAGACTGATTTTACTGCTCTAGGGTTCAGGTTTTTCATGTTTCTTTTTGTTGTTGTTGTTGTTTGCTTGTTTTTAAAAGGTCCTAAGTGATCACAGGTAAAGACCACTGACCTAAACTTATAAAGCAAAGGATTTCATTATTGTCAGGTTCATGAAATGACTGGAGCAAGTTTACCTAGGAAGCTGCCTTGAAATTTCAGAGGTCTAAAGACAACTCCAAACACATCAAATTCTCTATTACTGCAGTTTTATTGTAAGCTTACAATTAAAAAAAAAACACACACAAAAATTTACAAAATATCACAGAAGTATGAAGTAGGGAGAGACAGATCAGGTTTAGAGAACTGGCACATGGTAATTCTTGCTGTGTGTAAAATACTCCCGAGTCCTTCTCTCAGGCACATAAAAAGGTTGTACTCTCCTGACCACTTGTAGTTAGGTGCAAACAAGTAGTAGCAAACAAGTAGCTCTAGTCAATTTAAAGAGAAGCAACAGTGACCTGTATTGTTTCTGATGAAACCTTTTTTAAAAAGATTTATTTATTTTTATTATTTTATGTGTCTGAGTGTTTTGTCTACATGCATATATGTGCATCACGTGCAGGCTTGGTGCTCCCAGAGGCCAAAAGAGGGTATCTAATTCCCTGGAACTGAAGTTACAGACAGTTCTGAGCTTCGATGTGGGTCCTTGGATCCAAACTAAGGTCTTCTGCAAGAGGCACAAGTGCACTTACCTTATGAGCCATCTTTCCAGTCCCTCCAATGAAAGCTTTCAAAGAGCCACTGGTCAGTGAGAATGCTGTTACCTTGCATCCCAGAGTAATGATGATATCACAGAACACAGAACCCAGCTGAACCATCACAGACACATATAAGCGGAAAAAGAGCTTTGTAGTGTTGAACTATTGACATTTGGGGACTGTTTCCAAATCATGACCAAACCTTCCTGACTGATCTATGATAATGACGATTTCTGGGGGAAGACAGAAAAAAGGGATCATTAAAGGAAACTAGAAGGAAAGCAAGTAGCAATTTATTAAACAATGAAAGCAAGCCTGGCATAGTTGCACATGCCTTTAGTCCCAGCACTTGGGAGGTATAGGCAGGCAGATGTTACCCAGGCCAGCTAGGACTACAGGGAGACATCATCTCAAAAACAAAACAAAACGCAAAAAAACCCAACCAAACAAACAATGAACTCAAAACCTCTGCAAGAACACTTAGTGCTATTAACTGCTGGGCCCTCTTTCTAGCCCCCAAATTTAGCAATTTTACCCCCCAAATAACCATAAGTACCTTCTAGTCTACCTTTCACAATTTCTTTTGCCTAGCTTAGGCCAGAGGCAACTTCGTATTATCATATATACCAAAACCTTTCTCAAATTGTGTTCCTCTTCCATGTCTTTAAAGAAACAACACCTTTAACACTGAAGTTCCCTCATCAAACTCACAACCATAATTCACACTAAATTTACATTTCACTGGCAAATTTTTCATTCTTGCTGTGAACCATTCTCCATATTGAAACAGTATCTCTCCAAATGCTAATCATTCACTGATATATATATATATATATATATATATACATATATACATATATTATTTTAAGCAAGAAAATATTTGTATTTCAGAGCATACCACCAATAGAGCCTGCCCCTCTAATCTGGCTAACTCTGGACTTTCCTGCATTACCTAAGCAGCAGTTTTTAAGTGTTCAAGACCTCCTCCCCACCCCACATATACACATAATTAAATCAAACACTCTCGGTTCTGCACTCACTTTTACATAGTATTAGAGTTGGATGCTTTGCATACTACATTGTCATCTGGTAGAATAATTTAACAGAAAAGTTAAAAAGTTCAAAGAAGGCTACAGACATAATAGAGAATTCTATACTGGAGAAAAATCAACCAAATACACACAAAAAATTATGCTTGATAAGTAACTCTTCCATCTCCTTATAAAGAAATGTAGTTTTAGCTTTTTTTTTTTGAGACAGGGTCTCCCTGTAGCCCCAGCTGTCCTATGTAGACCAGGCTGGCCTTGAACTCACAGAGTCATTTCCATAAACAGGCCAAGCAGGCATTCTGATGCTTCTGTGAGTAGGGCATACATGAAAATGTCAATGGCAATCCTTAGCTTATATGGTCTCCATTAAGAACTTAAGGGCCATGAAGAAGGGTAATAATATAAAAAATAACTAACATAAATAAAAGACTACGAAAAAAAAGAAAAAGAAAGAACTAGATGGCAGACCAGTTAGACAGCAGACTGGGCACAGGGGTCATTTGCTTAGACATCTGGTCTTTCTTAGGCCTAAGTAGAAAGCTGCCTCTAGGAGAGCAGCCAATGAGATAGGTAGATGAGTAGTAAAAAACAAAAAAAACAGCTAAACAAACATCCATCCAGAGGGTGAACAGCATATTATTTTTTAAATCAATTTGTTTCTTTTGTTTCTTATAAAATTTATTATGAAATATCTATGAAATACAAAAAGATAGTCTATAAGAAATCACTACCAAGCTTATGAAGTAAAATATCATTAAAGTGCCTGCACCCCTTTCCCTTAACAGACAGCATCTTCATTCCATACCCAGACATAAACATTACTCTAATCGTGGTGATTGTCATGCTTTTTCCCCCCAACCCATGCACCTATTTATACTTTCACTACATAATTATACATAAGTGCTACAGCATTTTTCATGTTTTAAAATTGTGTATTAAAACATTAATATATCCCAGCATGGTGGGGCACACCTTTAATCCCAACACTCAGGAGGCAGAGAGAGGCTGTGAGATTGAGCCAGCCTGGTCTACATAGTGAGTTCTAAGCCAACAGGGGCTACAGGGAGACCCTGTCTCAAAAAAACAGAATAACCCCCACACATTAATATAGAAAATATAATTTATCAACTTGATTTTCCTTCATTATGTTTATATACATTCCTCATGTTAATATGTGATGATTATTCATGCATTTTTACCACGTGACAAAATACTGTTAAGCACAATTATAGGCACATTCTCCTACTGACAGGCAATTAAGTCCTTTAAGAAAAAAAAAACCTATAAACTAAGGATTAGCAAACTAACCTCTGACACAAATTAGCTAAGAAAGGAAGGAGGGATGGAGGTAGGAAAAGAAGGGAAGGATGGAGAGGAACAGGGAGAAGGATAGGAATTGAGAGAAAAGATTACAAAGGTCTGTTATAAACAATGGTGTTAGGAATTTTTTAATACCTATGACAGAGACTTTAAAAAAGTTTTTGCTTTAATTTTATTTTATGCATATGAGTACTACCCCTGCATGTATGTAAGTGCAACCACTGTGTCATACAGAACAGAAGAGGGTGTCAGATCCCTTAAAACTAGAGTTACAGACAGTTGTTAGCCACCATGTGGGTGCTGGGATTCGAACCTGGGTCTTCTGCAAGAACAGCCAGTACTCTTTAACCACTGAGTCATCTCTCCAGCCCAGAGAGAGACTTTATTCAGGGACTATAATGCCAAAATGCCTTCCAAGGTGATTGTACAGTACTATTGGCTTATCCATGTTTACAGAATATTCATTTTTTTTCAACTGCAATTATTACTGTGAATGTGTACGTATAATGTGTGTGAGTGCAGGGGCACATGTCATGGTGTATACATGAAGGTCAGAGGTCAACTTTCTAGAGTTGGCTCCCTTCTTCTGCCATGGGTTTCAGGGATCAGATTCAGGTTGCAGGAGTGCTCAGCAAGTACTGTTACCTGCTGAGCATTCACCAGCCCAACACTCACATTTCTTGTAACATTTATTACTTTTGCTCAATTTTAGAAGCTTTATTTGTAGAAATATAACATATATACTGAAAACTAGTGCCTTTGCACTGTATATTAGACAATCTTTCTAATCCACGCATCAATATTTTGCATTTTGCATGTCTTTGTGCTTCAGCTGAATCTGAAAAATTAAGTTTATGACAATAGCACAACTGCATGCACATTTGCAAATATTACATGACTTAATAGTCTTAAAATACTTAGAAGAGTGCCTTAAACATATAAAGTGCTCTACAAATGTTAGCTAGAGGAAACTCTAAATGTTATTTAGAGGAAAATTGGTTTTAAATGTCAATGTAAGTGAATCAATCTGCTCTACTATTTGTACTATCATACTTAAGAAATTTTGCCCTATACAGCAAATTTTAATTACACAAAAAATACAGGTCTCAGCCTCACTTTTGTTTATTCACTACCTCTACTATGGGGAAAAAAGGCATTTTCTCTTAAATTAACTATTCAATTTGAGTACATTTTCTCACAATCTAGCTGGTATTTTAATACCGATCTCTCTAAAGTTCAAGTAAAAAAGAAAACTCCTTCTAGAACACCTATTCCAGCACCAATTTTCCCCATTAAAAACTAAATGAGAGGGAGCTAGGCATAATCGTATATGCCAGGCATCGTAGCAACTGAGGCTAAGGCAAAAGGACTGAAAGTTCAAGGCCACCCTAAACTATATAACCAGTTCTATAGCAAGATCCTGTCACAAAAGAGGGAAGAAAAAAAAAAGGAACAAAGGAGGAACAAGAACCAAATTTAGACTTCTACCACAACAAATAAAAACTGGGTAAAATGCCATGGATCAGTATCATGTAAGGCAACACGGTGACAAAGGACTCAGATTCTGAACAAGTGGGATGAGCCTTCCTAACTGCTACCTACCTTACTACCTGAGACAAGCTCCAGGCTGAAGTACAAAGGAGAAGAGCTCAAGCAATCTGGTGCGCTCTGTCAGATAAGGGTACATAGCTGAGATAACTGACACTGGAACAGCTGGAGTTTTTCTGAGAAAATAGCTTCAAAAAGAAAAACCCTAGATATCCTCAGGTCCAGTATTCAGCTATGTACCAATCAGTACATGTGTGTGAAAAATTACTCGTCTAGGAAATCACTCAAATGGATCACAGGTATTAAAAACTTAAAACTATAAAATGCTAAACAGAAAACACAAAGAAATATCTTTGTGTTCCAAGATTAGGCATAAATTTCATAATTATCACACAAAAGCACGATTTAAAATAGAAAAGTTTTGGGGCCAGAGAGATGGTTCAGCAGTTAAGAGCACTGGCTGCTCATACAAGTGATCTGGGTTCGATTCCCAGCACCCATATGGTGGCTAACAACTGACTATAACTTTCTTCCAGGAGACCCACCCTCTTCTGATCTCTGAAGGTATTGTATGATTCCAGTACACTTACATACACATAGGCATAACACTCTAAAATAAAAATAATAATAATAAATAAAATTAAAATAGAAAAGTTTTGTAAATTAGACCATAACAAAATTCAAAACATTGGCCTTTAAAGACACTTAAAAGAATAAAAGCTAAGTAATGGACTGGAAAAAAAATGTGTGCAAAAGCTACATTTGCTAAAAACTCACTTGTATCTAGATACGTAACAAATTCACACAAATCATTAATACAACAAACTACTAAGTACAAAGAGGGCAACAGACTCAAGGAAAGATACACTGAAAGTTATATGAATGACAAACACATGACCCTCATTAGGACAATGAAAATTAAAAACCAGTCAGATACTTTTACCTATTACAATGGCTAAAATTATAAAAGCTAGTTATACCCAGTATTGGCAACAATATAGAAGACCTGAAACTCTTAAAACTGTTAGGAATAGAAAATTGTAGAACTACTATTGAAAATAATCCAGCAATTTTTAAGTTAAATACATAACCTACCGTATGATCCAGACTTTCCACAAGAGAACGGAAAACAAACATTAACAGAAAGATATGTATATAATATTCATAGCAACGTTACTGAAATAACCAAATATCAGAAAACACCAAGCTATCCATAAATAGGTAAGTGGCTAGTCCTGTATATCCATGTAATGAATTAGCAATATAAAGGAAAACACACACAAAAAGGTCTCAATATAATTAAAAATGCTCTTCAA